CACCAAAATCTCCGGATACCAATCCGTTGGACTATTGTGTCTGGAGTATTTTGGAAAGCAAGGTTGGCACTAAAAAATACCAAAGTTCCGGTCACCTCAAGAAAGCGCTTCGCCGGGAATGGACTAAAATACCGCAGAGCAACATTCGGCCAGCGTGTGACGGTTTCATTGGCCGCTTGAAGGCCATAATTCGTGCTAAAGGTGATCAATTCGAACTTATTTTAAAATTTAAAAAAAAAATGTAAAAATTATGGCGTTTAACTTTGTTGCAGTTTTTCTATCTCACCCTGTGTCCGTTACCTCACGCATATTTCCACATTTGCTAAAAATGTGCGCATATCTCATATAAAGTATAGGAAATAGTCGATATAGTCCAAATCTGGCACGTTGTAATATTTTTATCAGTCTTAGGTCAGATACGAAGTGGTCAATATTGTCCAACTGCTTCAGAACCTCCCCCTGAAAGAACAACAGTTTAAATAATCATAACTCAAGGCTGGGGGTATACATCTGTCGGCAAAACCGACTGATACTCTTTTACTTGTTTAACTAGTTTTTGAAAACTTTCAAATTCTTTCCAAATGGTGGAGGGTATCGAAATTTCGACCTAGCCGAACTTAGCTGTTTTTTTTTTACTTGTTATTGGCTAATTTAGGTACCGTTTTCATGGTTATAGTCTTATTGTTTTGTCTGTTTATTTGTATATAAGAGAAATAAAAAATTAATTAAAGCAAATTGATAAAACAAAGTAACCAATCTCAACCTCATAGTTGGCTAATAGCAGTACTTATTATTTCTCTATTATAAATTGCGGTGTTTTGAAAGTTATTTTCATTTGTGATTTAATTTCATGAATCAATTAAAACTTTAACGGGGTAGAGGAAGGGAGAGGACGAGAGAAAACAATGGTAGTTATTGTGCAACAACGCCGCATATAGTCATTTATAATTAATCCTCAAAACACCTCAGAAGCAACTTTATTTTATCAAGCAAGCAGGAAACCATTTATATGATGACGGATCCTTTACTTTCTTGTTCAGCTTGTACCTTGAAAAGTTCGTTATTAAACTTCAAACTTTCAAAATATTGACTGCCCTATTGTATTTAGTGGTCATAAAATCTTATTGCTATTTTGGTGTCCTCCATAGCTAAAAATATCCACTATTTTCTCCAGAACATATGTAAAAACGATTATTAGCTTAGTACACCGATATATACCGATACTTAATTCGTGACGTTGCCTCTAAGTCCAGCTATTTCAATTAACTTAAAATGTAGCTACATTGTATAAAGCACAATGTACAACCATACAATGTTTATAATTGTAGTAGGAACTGTGATAGAAACCATTGCGACATAACGGGAAAAAATTGAAAACGAATTGACATATCTCGACCTTATAGTTGGCTAATAGCAGTACTTATTATTTCCCTATCATAAATTGCGGTGTTTTTAAAGTTATTTTCATTTGCTATTGAATTTTATGAATAAATTAAAACTTTAAGGGGGTAGAAGGAGGGAGGGGGAGAGAGAGACAGAAAACAGTGAATTGCAACAACACTACATATAGTAATTTTTAATAAATCCTCAAAAGATTTTAGAATCCATTTTATTTTCTCAAGCAGGACAGAAGAAGACGGAAACTTTCCTTCCCTGTAGAACGTGCGCCATAAAAAGTTATTTTTAAACTTCAAACATTCAAAATATTGACTGTAATATTGTATTTAGTGGTCATAACATTTTATTGCTATTTTGGAGGCCTCCCTAGCTAAAAATGTCCATTATTTTCTCCCAGAATACAAGTAAATAATATAAGCAGTTCGCCCTTATATCAAAACTTTGCTCATGATGTGACACTTGATCCTTCCTTTTTCAATAAATTGCAAATGAACCTGGTTGTGGTGGGAAATAGAATCGTCGAAAATTATGTGTTTAGTTAAATAATAACAAGTGAAATTGTATCATCCGGTTTTGCCAACAGATGATTACCCTCAGCCAATGTTCGATTATTTAGCCAATGTTCGAAAATTGTGGCGCCTTGTGGGTGAGGTACCAGAAAGGGTTCGCAGATATCTATTATCTTCACAATAGATATCGTTTTAGCCAAACATTTTTGCTGTGTGAAATTTGAAGAGAGTTGGATGCTTATTTCGATTTCTTTGAGCGTTTTGTTTTTCAAAATCTTGAACCCTATGTGGGAGACGTACCAGAAGAAATGGTCCGATCTTTATCATCTTTATAATAGATCTTGTGTTGATGGAAATATTGATATGTGCCAAGTCTGAATGGAATCGGATGTTAATTTCGCGTTTTATGAGCTTCAAGGATATTCAAAATTATGACCCATTGTGAAGGAGATACCAGAAGGAGTGGACCGACACATCCCATTTTCACACCAGACCTTGGGTTAGTAAAAATATTGTGATGTGTGTAATTTGAAATATTATGATTTGCAAAATCGGATTATCCATTCTCTTTATGTGCAGTAAATTATTTTCTTTGAAAATTTTAAATTTTTGTGTGCGAGATACCAAAAGGAGTGGATCGATATTGGTCATCTCCGAACTCAATCTAAGTTTGAGAATAATATTACGATGTACCAAGTTTGAAGCAAATCTGATACTCTCTTCGATGATGATACGGATGAACGGACATCGCTAGACCGACTCCAAATGTCCTAAAACGGATTTGGTCCAAAAAGAGCTAGGGCTTAAACCCGTTATTTCGATTAGGCACGTTTTGGCCGTATCAAATAATATACATCCATTGTAGCATGGCTGAGCATACAAAAATCCGATGAATAATGTAGCTAAAATCATCAAAATACCGAATATAGGGAGGTACCGTTATATCGGCACTATACGAAGACTTGCATAGACAATTTTCTGTCACAGGTTGTAGTACCTAATAGGAACTTCAAATACGAAATTTCATACAATTTCTGTGAATATTGTACCTAAAGTAGTCAAAATACCGAATATAGGGAGGTACTAAGATATGGGGGCTATACGAACATGTGGACCTTCATAGACAAATTGCTGTCAAAGACTGTAGGTCCCATTACGAATTCTAAGTACGAAATTTGAAACAACTCCGGTGAATAATCTCGCTAAAATCATCAAAATACCGACTATTGAGAGGTACTGATATATGGGGCATATATGAAAGTCTGGACCTGCATAGACAATTTGCTGTCACAGGCTGTAGTACCTATTAGGAACTTCAATATTTCGGGAAATATTGTACTTAATATCGTCAAAATACCGAATACAGGGAGGTACTAATATATGGGGCCTATACGAAGACCTGGACCTGCATAGACAGTTTTCTGTCTTAGGCTGTAGTATCCATTACAAACTTTATGTACCAAATTTGAAACAATTCCGGTGAATAATGTCGCTAAAATCGTTAAAATACCGAATATTGGGAAATACCGTTGTTTGGAGGCTATACAAAGACGTAGGCCTGCATACGTAGTTTTTTGTCACAGGTTGTAGTACCCATTACGAATTCTAAATACGAAATTTGAAATAACTCCGGAGAATAATGTCGCTACAAAGACGTAGGCCTGCATACGTAGTTTTTTGTCACAGGTTGTAGTACCCATTACGAATTCTAAATACGAAATTTGAAATAACTCCGGAGAATAATGTCGCTTCTTTTGTGATTGAAAATCAGTCAAAATATCGAATATCGGAGGGTACCGTTGTATGTGGGCTATACGATATCGCGAATCTATATAGACCTTTCTTTTCCAGAGGGTAAAGTGCTTAGAAAGAACTTCTAGTGTGGATATTTAGACAATTCCATTGAAAATGGTAGCTGAACTCATCAAAATACCAAATATGGTACCTTCATGTGGGAGATATACGATATACTCAGAAGGAACACATTTTGTGGATTTTCAGACAATTTTATTGGCAAATTTGGCTACAATCATCAGAATTTCGAATATCGGAGGGTACCGTTATATGGGGGCTATACGATATCCTTGACCGATATCTTTGAACTTTGCCTGGCCTGCAGACAAATGACTGATATGTGCAAAATTTTAGTTTCTTTATTCGTTTTGAAGCTAGCGTGATTACAACAGACGGAGAGGGCTAAATCGTCTTAGAATTTCACGCTGATCAAGAAGAAATATACTTTGTTATGTCTAAAATGATTATTTCGATAAGTTACAAACGGAATGTCGAACTTAATATACCCTCCCCATACTATGTATGGTGGAGGGTATAAAAACATGATGTAACACTCGATTCTTCCTATTTCAATAAATTTCAAATGTATGTTTTGTCCGGAAATATGTATTTAGTTTAATAATAAAACCCATTGTGACATAACGGGAAAAAATTGAAAACAAATTGACATATCTCGGGCTTTAAGTTGGCTAATAGCAATACATATTATTTCCCCATCATAGATTGCGGCGTTTTAAAATTTATTTTCTTTTGTGATTGAATTTTATGAATAAATTAAAACTTTAAGGGGTAGAAGGAGGGAGGGAGGGACAGAGAAAGAAAACAATGGAAATTATTTGCAGTGAATTGCAACAACACCAACATACAGTACCTTATAATTAATCCTCACAACACCTCAAAAGCAACTCAATTTTCTCAAGCAAGCAGTCACACAGGCAGATAGGCAGACAGCTGATGACGTTAATGGAATTGTTTTTTTCATAGCAGACAGCACCGACAACAGTCGCACACACTGTTATGAACATTTGTATGTTCACATGTTCGTCATACAATACAGCTTTACCAATTTAACAGTCCAAAAATTAAAGCTCACATTCTATTTCTCACTACGTAAACACAAAAAGCTTTCCCACCGTAGCAGCAAGTCAAAAGATTGGAACAAAAAACACACACAAGTGGGGCTTTTTCAACCATCAGTGTCAAACGACGCTGAACAGTAGATTTTTTCTATGGTTATACTTCTCAATGACTTCGTACAACGTAAGTCGTTTATAGTTGAAGTCGTTCAGGGTGAGATTCGTGCCTAAATTTAACGAGTAAGGAAAACCATTATGTCTTGCTAATCGCTTGACAGAGCGCTTCTAGGCAGTGTGGAGTTTTGTCCCTTCAAACGGGGGCATGTTTCACATGAAGCACAATTTTTGTATGGGCACAGGTCGTCCCTTTGAACTTGGCTGTCAGAGGGCCCTCTACTCTTTGGGTCCTTTGCACAGGGGTTTGGGTGTAGCGATCTGCCCGATCAAGAAAATCAATGGGGAAACAACGAAGAGTTGGATATAAAGGAGGGGTTTTTTGAAATCAATTTTAGGGGTGGGAAAGATATAATTAAAGGACAGTTGAAATTATTATTTTTCTTAAGGTTTCGCTTTTGAGACACCAATATTATCTAACATTTGAAACAAATGAAAATAATGAAAATGTTTGGTTGTTTTAAAAAATCGATTTATTTGACATTTGTACTTTTTATACCCCCAGCCATGTGGCTACAGAGGGTATTATATCATTTGATACGATCATAATATAATAACGTTTTTACACCCTAGGTCTCATTGGAACAAATCCGTTTCAGGACATTTGAAGTTGATCTAGCGATGTCCGTCCGGCTGGGTGGTGCGCACGATAACTTTCGAATGGAATATCCGATTTGGTCCAAACTTGGTACATCGTAATGGTTTGGTAGATCGAGTTCGGAGATGAGTAATATCGGTCCACTCCTTCTGGTACCTCCCCCACAAAAGGTCAACATTTTCAAAAAAATATATTTTACTGCACAAAAAGAGAAAGGATAACCCATTATTGTTCCAACCTTTAAACCTTACCAAAAAGAAAAAAATGTGATGTAAGAGTACGATTCTCTGCTATGAAGATGAGATATATCGGTCCACTCTTCCTGGTACCTCTGCCAAAAAATTGTGAATATCCGCGTAGCTCATAAAACAAGAAATTAACATCAGATTACAACCAGACTTGGCACATCTCAATTATTCTATCAACGCAAGACCTGTTATAAAGGTGGTAGAGACCGGACTATTCCTTCTGGTACCTCCCAACAAAGGGTCAACATTTTTAATAATCAAAACGATTATAAAATCCGAAATAAGCATCTGATTCTCTTCATATTTCACACATCCCATTATTTCTACTAAGACAAGATCTGCTGTGAAGATGGAATATACCGGTCTACTCTTTCCGATACCTCCCCCACAAATATCCGTGAAGCTCATAAACACGAAATTAACATTTGATTACATTCTCACTTGGCACATCTCAATATGTCTATCAACCCAAGACCTGTTATAGAGATGGTAGAGATCGGACTATTACTTCTGGTACCTCCGCACAAAGGGTCAACATTTTTAATAACCAAAAAGAATATAAAATCCGAAATCGGGTCTGTTCATATTTCACACATCCCATTATTTCTACTAACACAAGGTCTGCTTTAAAGATGGGATATATCGGTTCACTCCTTCTGGTACCTCTACCAAATAGGGTCAAAATTTGAATATCCATGAAGCTCATAAAACACGAAATTAACATCCGATTACATTTAGACTTGGCACATCTCAATATTTCTATCAACACAGACCTGTTAAAAAGATGGTACAGATCGGACCATTTCTTCTGGCACCTGCCCCTCAAAGGGCCGAAGTTTTGAATAACCAAAACTATCATAAAATCCGAAATAAGAATCCGCTTCTTTTCATATTTCACACATCCCATTATTTCTACGAACACAAGATCTGCTATGAAGATGGGATATATCGGTCCACTCTTCCTGGTACCTCCCCCACAAAGGGTCAAATTTTTGAATATCCATGAAACTCATAATACACGAAATTAACATCGGTTTCCATTCAGACTAGGTTGGACATCTCAACATTTTTATCAACACAAGATCCGTTATAAAGATCGGACCATTTCCTCTAGTACCTCCCCCACATAGGGTTCAAGATTTCAAAAACAAAACGATCAAGAAAAGCGAAATAAGCACCCAACTCTTTTCAAATTTCACAATTCCCAATATTTTTGCTAACACATGATCTGTTGTGAAGATGATATATACTTTTATCTGTGATAGCTTGCGGAACAGCGATTCTTTCCATCTGACTATATCTAAATATTTCTCCCAATCAGAAACCTGAGATGGATGTGGAATTTATGATTTCGCATAAAATTTGGATATAAATGTTCGATTTTTTTGTAATTTTGTCCATATTGGTATGTTATCTGCATTAGATGAAGTATGAAAATGGATTACTTCGGTGCGCTATATCAACACATATCTATATATATATATATATAAATGAAAGTTGTGTTAGTTACTACGCTTATAACTTAAGAACCGCTGAACTGATTTTAATGATTCATACAAATTCGGAATTGTCTCCTATCCGAAAAGGATAATATACAAAAAAAATCACGTAAAAATGTGATATATTAACATTTTCATTTTGACTTTTCAAATGTACAATAGTAATGTTTTATTTTGCATGATTTTTTTCCATTTTGACTTACTTTTTTCTAATGTACATTTGTAGTGTTTTTTATATTTTATTTTTGAATTCGAATATTAATATCAATTTATTTAATTGACTTGATTTCTTGAGAACTGAAATTGATGACGGGTTACATGGAAGTGTAGTACCGAATTATGTGGTGGCGAAACGGAAATAATTTAACGCGGTCACACCAAAGTTAGAAGATAATAACCTTTTCAAAATCGCTAAAAAAAATTACGAAAAAAGAGATCTCATTACAAAAATTCTCAAAACGGGAAAATATCGAAAAAAATTTCCAATGGAATTGAATTTTAAAATAAAAGTACATTCTATTGACAAACTTTGTAAGGATCTTTAAACAGTTGCTGTAAAAAATCAGCGAACAAGTTGAAGATTTTTTCAATTTGTTATTATTCTTTTGTCATTTTTTTTCAATTTGTATTATCATATTGAATTTAGTAGATTTTTTGTGAACGAAATAAAGAATAATTTTTCATTATATACAATTTTTCACCAAAAAATGAAATAAGTGCGAAATACGATTGTAACTGACAGCTGGAAGATGCGCAAACATTTTAACAAACAAAAATGACCGAAAAAGACTAATTGGGCTCATTTCAAAGCGTGGACCTACTTCTTTCATGTGACAATAATCCGTCCAATGAGAGCTCAAAATGCAAAAATTTTTGGGACTATAATCAGTAAAGTACCAAATATAAAGGGTGCAAAATGGTAGAGCGAATGGGACTTTTAGTAAGAAAAGGATTTCTATCCTTCCAAAAATTCTTCCCGAACATTTAAGATACCTTAAATCGCTTTTGCATGACCTGCAATATGATATATGATATCGATCTTAAATAACCATTGTATGATTTAAGCTATTTTTGGAGTCTTCGTCATTTTCTTCTATTTTTGGCCCTTATTTGGCATCTTTGTTTCTAAGGGAGTAGAAAATTCTCGGAGTAGGGCCTTGAGTGAGTGAGAGCCTTGGTCTTGACCACTAATAAATTGTATTTATGCTACCCTGGGGTAAGGAACCATCGTACAGATAATTGCCACATAGAAATTTATTCAGGTAAAGTCCCCACATTGGAGTATCTCCAAGTCCACTTTCACATCTTATGTGTGGTCAGTAGAGAAAATTTTGTATTCTATTGAATTTGTAACCCCCAAGAGAATATTAGTTGGGAACGTAGATTCGGGATGTACATCTATATGAAATAAATTGTGAAAACATGAACAATTTACAAATATAAGAAAGTAGCACGGGACCGAATATTTGTTGAATCGTCATTGAATTATATTATGATGAAAAATATGGATTTTATGGGGTCTCCAATTTACAATTTAAATGACAAATAAAATTAGTTCCCATCTTACGGTAATGGGAGTAAAATAGTAATTATATTTGACTATCCTGAAATCAGTCTGCCCTCAATTATGAGATGGATAAAATTATTTTTACTTATTTAAATCACGTGAATTTTTTCAGTTTGACATGCTGTGTTGTTCTGCTATATTTTCGATTTGGCCTCTATTTGTCATCTTGGATTATAAGGGGTGAAGAAAGTTTTCAATGTAGTTCGATGTTTCGCAGTAGTGTCCATATGAAGGTACTTCCTGATTTTACATCATTTCAAAGGATTTGGCTAAAAATGTGTATTTGGGGGGGTAAAAATCTTACACAAAAATTTCAACATATCTACAAATTTTAGAAATTTTTCCATGTAATAGTACCCCCTCAAGTCCACCTTTTGACGGACTTATGAGGACTCTAATGCACAATCTGAGGTATTAATGGGTTTAAAAAAGTAATTAACTTTGGCTATTCTTAAATCATTCAGCCCTCAATTATGAGGTGTACAAAATACAGTAAATTCCAAATTTCTGCTCATTTGACTAAAAATTAAAAATTAATCGACCAGTACATGAACACTTATAACAGTCATATCTTTGAATAATTATGCTTTGACAAATATGCATAATAGACTAAAACTACGGGCCGGCAACGCGGACAGGGTCAGCTAGTCTCATATAAATGGAAGGAAGTGACCAATATAGTCCCAACCTGGGACGTCGCAATATTTATATCATATCCGATATGAAATGGACAATATGACCCCATTTCTTCGAAACTTACTCCCCAGAGGGTCAACAATTTGAATAATGTCAAAATATCACAAGTCAAAATATATTTAAATAATCGAACATTGGCTGAGGGTACACATCTGTCGGCGAAACTGACTTATACTTTTTAACTTGTAGAGCTTCTTTGTTTTTGTAGGTGACCTGAAAAGCGTTCTCTTATTATAAAAATTCAAAAGAAAAACACCTTCAATTTATTGAAACCTAAGGTTTTTTCCAATGCATCTGACCGGCGTATGTCCGAATTCTGTGAAATTCACCTGGGGATTTTTTCATTTTTTAGACTTTTGTGGTAGAGCGTTTCTCTTATATATTTATATTTATTACATTTTTTTATAATTCCTTCCAATTCTTTTTAGAACGTCAAAACACCGTGTTATTTAATCCTTACATCTTTAACAAACGCACACACACACATAGGCATCATTAACATACAACGTAAAACCAAAACTGCACTGCAATTTTAACAGAATGAAAGCTTTTATTCATTACGCTGAAAGCTTTCTGGACCATTTTGGACGGTGTCACACCATTTGTTCTCTTCTATTGCATTTTCCCAGCGTTGGTTTACACTGTGATATTTTCCACACG